CTGAGCGGTACAGGAGAGATCCAACTGGGATCAGGAGAGATCTGAGCGGTACAGGAGAGATCTGACTGGGATCAGGAGAGATCTGAGTGGTACAGGAGAGATCCGACTGGGATCAGGAGAGATCTGAGCGGTACAGGAGAGATCCGACTGGGATCAGGAGAGATCTGAGCGGTACAGGAGAGATCTGACTGGCTGTAGGAGAGAATCGATCGGGACTAGGAGACAGGGCTCACTTCCTCGCTGCGTGCCTGTGGTGGGCACCACACAGGCCTAAGCCTGGCTGTACTCTCGCCTGGCCTTTCAGGAAAGGAGGCGATACCAGAGCCCGCAGAGCAGGATTGAACAGCCCGGCTTGACCTTTGACCCCAGCACATGTGACAAATCTTGTTTGGACACTGCAGTGCAGTTTTACTTCCAGCCAGATCCCGAACAATCAGAACAAAAAACAGCCCAGGACACAGATTTCTCCCTGACCTAAGCAACTGCTGTGACTATTTTTCTCTCTCCTGAAAAATGTGAATCATCTCCGCTGCCAAAATCCGAGTCTGGCAGCCTGACTGTCCGGATCTGCATTCCTAAAGTGCAGAGAGCGAGGGAGGGCCCTGGAGGGGCCAGATCTCAGGAGAGGAGTGTTCATAAACAGAGAGGGGGAGCCGGAGAGAAGGAGAGGGGCAGGGAGAGGGGAACAGGGAGACAGGGAGAGACAGGCAGAGAGAGAGAGACAGGCGAGACAAGGCAGAGAGATAGAGAGTATACGTAAATATTTACAGTATATGTAAATATCTACAGTATATGTAATATTTACAGTATATGTAAATATTTTAGGATATGTCTCTGTTGTAAATGTCTGTAGATTTTATTTTACTTTTATTTTTTGTTTTGTTTCATGTGAATTTCATTATTTGTATTTGCTTTGGCAACACTGATTGTACCCATCGGTCGTGCTAATAAAGCACCTTGAATTGAATTGAATTTAACTGAAATTGCGAGACAGGCAGGGAGAGAGGTGGATGAATGGGAATTCAAGAAGGGAGGGAATCCAGCTGTATCGCATCAGCTGCTGGGTTGGTCTGTCCTGGGACACCAGTATTAATGTGTGAGACACGTGGCCAGGAGACTGAGAGAAAAACAACATTTTCCCCTGATCCACTAATTCCACTCTCCTGCTGTGTGTTGTGCTCATTACTGAGGGACTCTCTGTGATCTCCCCCCTCCCTCTCTCTCTCTCTCTGTGTGTGTCTCTTGTTTTGTTATGCGGGTTTATACTGAAATTATATCTACTGAATTATATCTTTTGTGTGGTTTCCTGAATAGTTGCCTCTGGAAAGTATTGTTTTTGTTTTCGACTGCAGACAGAGGGAGGGTGTGGGAGGCAGAGAAGAGGGGAGTGAATCTGGAATTAACTCTGAAAATCTCAACAAACAGTCATGCAAGGACCCAGTACAATAATAACACTGTACTACACTGCTGTAACACACAGTCTCCCCTCCGCCCGGTACTGTAATAACACTGTACTACACTGCTGTAACACATAGTCTCCCCTCAGCCCGGTACTGTAATAACACCGTACTACACCGCTGTAACACACAGTCTCCCCTCAGCCCGGTACTGTAATAACACTGTACTACACTACTGTAACACACAGTCTCCCCTCAGCCCTGTACTGTAATAACACTGTACTACACTACTGTAACACACAGTCTCCCCTCAGCCCTGTACTGTAATAACACTGTACTACACTACTGTACTGTACCAAACCAGCACAGCGGTCCTACTCTCAGGCATGAAGCACACAATGCACCAGGCAAAAATCCCCAGAATTTTGCCAGATGTTCCCAGAACCTCAGCAATCTCTACTCTCTGGATTTCACGGGATGACTGTTTTCCAAAAGCATGTGCACTGTGTCCCGCCTAACCCACTCTGATGTAGACCCTACTTCTCACAGTGGGATAGATCCTCCTCACTCTGAGGAAGACCCTGCTCCTCACAGTGGGATAGATCCTCCTCACTCTGAGGAAGACCCTGCTCCTCACAGTGGGATAGATCCTCCTCACTTTGATGAAGACCAGGCTCCTCACAGTGGGATAGATCCTCCTCACTTTGATGAAGACCAGGCTCCTCACAGTGGGATAGATCCTCCTCACTTTGATGAAGACCAGGCTCCTCACAGTGGGATAGATCCTCCTCACTTTGATGAAGACCAGGCTCCTCACAGTGGGATAGATCCTCCTCACTTTGATGAAGACCAGGCTCCTCACAGTGGGATAGATCCTCCTCACTTTGATGAAGACCAGGCTCCTCACAGTGGGATAGATCCTCCTCACTTTGATGAAGACCAGGCTCCTCACAGTGGGATAGATCCTCCTCACTTTGATGAAGACCAGGCTCCATACAGAGCCTACTATACGCTGCACAATATCGGTGGAGCTTAGAACAGAAGTCTGTGTGAAACTGATGCAGCCTCAAGCGGAGCCCATCCCGACCTGACAAAATACTTCACATTCTACTGTGCCTGTTAGCACTGAGGTCTGGACCATTTCCAGCCTTTAAGTCATAAGTTTAAAATGTTTCCCTTGGTCCTCCTCCTGACAGCTGGCACGCTCTTCCAGTGGGCTGTATCTGTGCCCAAGGGAGAGCACTTTCTCGGAAAATCGGAACAGCAGCTTTGGAATTCCGATGGAGCAGCCTGGAGCCTCCTTCCTCGTAGCTCCGGGGTCCTGGGTTCAGATCTGGCGCACAACATCTGTCTGTGCGGAGTCTGCATGTTCTCTTCCAGCGATGGGTTGGCGTCCCAGGCAGGGAGGTAGCAGGCACATGCTAACGGTCCAGCAGGTGTGGATGGTTTTGAGCAGGTGTGTGCTGTACTTAGCCAGAAATACCAGAAAACACATCAGCTCCTTACATGGAGCGTCAACTGGTTGGGTTTGGTTACCGTTCCAGTTTACCCTTCAGGTGCTGCAACAGGCTGTTTTCCCAAAGCCCTCTCTGGTACGGGGGAGCCACTGGGAACACAGTGACAAGGGACATCTTCTGGAGCACGTTTCCACACGTTTGTCCACATTTATAGCCCAACATCAAACATGGTGTGGGCAATGGGAGTGTGGAACAAGCTGCCCAGTCCCGTTGTTGAAGCCGACAGCCTGACGCCTCTCAAGAGACAGCTGAATCAGATCCTCCAGAGAGGTGATAACTGGGGAAATCCAGAAGGTGTTACGTGTTCACTTCATTTCTGAAATTAACACTACCCACACAAAAACACAAACACAACTTCACAACCCCACCCCCACAGTGTCAAACCAGCCTGGCCAGCAGGTGAGGGGTTGAGTGCTGTGCACCTGGAGTGTGACTGACAGTACTGTAAAACCTGGAGTGGATCAGGGCGCTGTGCACCTGGAGTGTGACTGACAGTACTGTAAAACCTGGAGCGGATCAGGGCGCTGTGCACCTGGAGTGTGACTGACAGTACTGTAAAACCTGGAGCGGATCAGGGCGCTGTGCACCTGGAGTGTGACTGACAGTACTGTAAAACCTGGAGCGGATCAGGGCGCTGTGCACCTGGAGTGTGACTGACAGTACTGTAATAAGAGCAGGTCCGCTAACACAATTTCAGCTGGAACATGTTTTGCTATGTAACCTGTTGCCAGGGCGTTCATCTTTACAAACAGGCACAGGACGTTTCTTAGCCGGCTCAGTCAGCCGCGCACCAGGAATGAGATCCCTTTCCCTGGGTTCGGCCACCGAGCACAAGGAGTTAACACCCGATAGAAGCAGACAAGCCACACAACGCGGGCCATCCGTCTTCACAGCCTGCAGCTGAGACGCTGCTGGCAGGACAAGGCCTATTGTCAGAGCCCACCTCCTCCACCGGCGTCTCTGAAACCACGTCTCAGAAACCCCAGTGAGTCAGGACTGGAACCCACTGACCTCTCAACTGCTCAGCAATAACCCCTCGTAGGGCCTTGTTTTCTGGAATTGAAAGTAAATATGCAGAGAATGACACACAGGTGCTTACACTACAGGAAAGGAACCGCAGGTGGGGGGAAAAGTAAGTGACCTCAGCCGGTCAGAGCTCAGAAGGCCCAACTTTCCACACAGAGGGGTGGGAGTGTGGAACAAGCTGCCCAGCCACGCTGCTGGGTGAGACACTCAGTCAGGACAGGAGGCTCTTCTTTACACAGAGGGTGGCGGGAGTGTGGAACAAGCTGCCCAGCCACGCTGCTGGGTGAGATACTCCAGTCAGGACAGGAGGCTCTTCTTTACACAGAGGGTGGCGGGAGTGTGGAACACACTGCTCAGCCATGTCCGGACTTCTCCCAAGAAACAGTTGGATGAGATCCTGGGATCAATTAGCTAATTAGCTACCGGCAACCAAGGGGGAAGTTGGTCCAAACGGCCCCCTCTCATTTGTGACTTGTCTTGTGTTTTAATGCTTGCTTCCAGTTCAGTTCTGGAGTCACATCCAGTACCTCACAGCAGGCCCTCTGGCCTGGGAGCTGGAAACTCCGTCTCAGCTGGCGCGGGGAGAAGGCCAGATAGGAGTCAGAGAATCAGACACCAGCCCTCCTGTCTGCACCGGGACAGGCATCCAATAACAACACAGGACCCTTCCTGGACCTCGTGCCTGACACGTCTGTTCTCACATCTCAGCTGCCTGTCTCTCTCCTTCAGCAGGGGCTCACGTTGTCATCTGTCATCCACATGACCGATTTCCTTCGTCTCAACAGACGTTTTCACACCTGCTGTTAAGCATTTTGAGGAACAACACTTACAGGTGCTCTTGCATGAGACAAAGCACAGACCCTAAACTGACAGTAACACTAGCTGGTTGTCTGACCAGCATAGGAGGCAGCAACGAGAAACCGAGTTTGAGGAAATACAGATACAGGCAGACTTGGCTTGAGAGGACTGCTCAGTGACCACAGACTGGACATAGAAACTGGACAGACTGACCTGGCTGTCCAGAAAGGACAGGCTCAGTGACTACAGATTGGACATAGAAACTGGACACAGGACTACCTGGCTGTCCAGAGAGGACAGGCTCAGTGACCACAGCCTGGACGTAGAAACTGGACAAAGGCAGACCTGGCTGCCCAGAGAGGACAGGCTGAGCTCTCACTGCCAACAGGAAAAAACAGAGACAGATGCACTCTCTGCTGCACTGTGAGACATACTCTGGGATTAGATCAACATTTTTTGCTCAAATAAACGCATTCCCCAAATTCCCACTCCTGCCAGAATCAGAACAGCTCCAGTCCTGTGATGTTCTATTGCTGTAAATGTCTTCTAACTGTTATTCTCTTGGGAAGGCTGTGATCCCTGGTCACGACAACAGAGCTGAGGACAGACAGACAACAGAGAGAGGAGAGAGGGCTGAGAGACAGAGGAGAGACAAACGGGAGTGAGAGATAGCAAGACACAGAGGAGAGACACTGAAGAGACGAGAGAGAAGAGACACGGAAGAGTGAGAGACAGGAATGAGAGGGAACAGAGACAGAGGAGAGGGAGAGACAAGAGAGACAGGAGTGAGAGAGAACAGGGACAGAGGAGAGGGAGAGAAAGAGGAGGAGAGTGAGAGAGGAGGAGGAGAGGGAGTGAAAGAGAGGAGGAGAGGGAGTGAAAGGGAACAAGATGTGGACAGAAGAACAAGCCACGAGAGACAGAAGGAACACAGCCATGGATCTCTCACTCAGTGTATAAACACAGAAACACGCCGGCACATCCCCACTCCTCCTCCCAGCACAGACCCGACTGGACAACCTGATCTATCTGTGTGGAGTCTGCATGTTCTCCCTGTTTTTGTGTGGGTTTCCTCCAGGTGCTCCAGTTTCCTCCCACAGCCCAAAGACATGCTGGCAGGCTAACTGGTTTGTGGGAAAATTGGCCCTGGTGTGAGTATGTGCCTGCCCTGCGATGGGCTGTGTCCCTTCCAGCACCTGTCAGGCCTTGTGTCTCTCGCTTGCTGGGATAGACTCTGGCTCCCAGGCAACCCTCACTTGGGCGAAGAGCATGGATGGGTGAATAGTTTGAAATCTGTGTACAGCTTTAGTCACCATGATACAGAAAAGATGTTGCTGCTCTAGCATCAGTCCAGAGAAGAGCAACCAGATACAATCTGGGACTGAAGGGGAAAGTTTTGCTGAACTGAAAGTACAGGGCGACAGGGAATCAGACAGGAAGACAGGGAGATAAACAGGGCAACAGGGAATCACACAGGGAGACAGGGAGATAAACAGGGTGACGGGGTAACAGTAATGACACAGAGAGTAATTATACAGTGAGAAAGGAATGACACAGGGAGACAGGAATGAGGCAGAGAGACAGGAATGAGGCAGAGAGACAGTAATGAGTCAAAGAGACAGTAATGAGTCAGTGAGACAGCCTTGCCTGTAGAAGTGGTCTCCCTTGACATTGGGCCCCACCACCTCCATGCTGCTGGTGTAGACAAGATACTGGACCCCCAGCTCCTCGCAGGCGCGCAGCACGTTCTCAGTCCCTGCAGACACACACACACACCAGAGGGGGCGTCAGAGAACCTCGACACCCTGAGCAAACTGACACCACTGCTCTGAGCTTCCAGAGGACCTGCTAAACACAGCGAATCTAAGAACACATCACGGCAGAGTGCGATTCCCTTGTAACCCTCCTCAGTTTCATCTGCAATGACATAAAAATTCAAATCAACCTGAAGAATTACACTCAACTGATAAGAAGAGTCATTCGGCTGGTCTGGCCTGTGATGCAGTAAGAAGACAATTGATCTGTGTGTCTCATCCAGCTGTTTCTTGCCAGACGTCAGAGTATCAGCTTCAACATGGCTGAAATCTTCTGGGTTAACTTTGTCAATGGCTTTGAAGATTCTGAATACCTGTGTCAGTCACCTTGTAATCTTCTCTGTTAATACAGACTCAAGAGACTCAGTTCCTCCAGCCTGTCAGTGATGGAAACTCCCTTCAAACTAAAGAGACTCAGTTGCTCCAGCCTGTCAGTG